TTTTGAGAAACAACATACTGACCATCTCACACTTTGCAGTTTTACTACACTACGCAGCCCCTTGTGTTCTAGTTATTGTGTACTTTTAATTACTAAACTTCACATCAAGGAACAACTCTAAGATGAATCAGCCTTTATATAAAACCAGAAAGAAAAATAAAGGTTTACTTCTAATTTCTTACATATGTCTTCCAGTTGTATATGTGTATATTTGTGTTTATTTTTTAATCTAAAGTAAGGGGGACTTATTCGCTTTTAATTATTGATTGTTAGAGCCAATATTTGAAAATACAGGAAACAAAAGGTATACAATGAAAATAATCGTAGATAATAATGTCATAGAATCAGCAAATATACAGACTCTAGTGGGCCAGGAAAAAAAACCTCATATTTTGGTTAAGCCCTGTCTTTGAACATAGCAGCACAATAATACATTTCATTTCTTTCATGTTGATACAACATAGGGAATGCCGTATTAACTATAAAAAGGTCAGAAACTTATTTGAAGAATATCATGTATACCTTATATGCATAGGGTGGTTGTTCAGATTCATCTTGTCACTGTACCAAGGTGTATAAAACTTGACATAAATTGAAAGCTTGTTTATCGATTTTTCTATTTGTAGTTCCTATGGAAAACCCACTTAGGGAGATGGCTGAGTACCTGGATTCCAGTCGAGATGAGGTCTGGGAGAAGAACTCCTGCAACAAACAAATAACATTTTTGGTATATCGAGAAGGAGATCAGTTGAATTTCTTTTGTGTAGTAGATAGGGGAGATGGCACTTTAACACCATTATGTGAATCTTTAAGGTAAATTGGTTTTCATTTGCATGTCTTTACTTAGAAAAAGAGAACATCATATGATATGCTCCATAAACTTTCATGTTTACCTTGTGGTGTCAAAATAATCTTAGTATGTTAACAAGACTGACTAAATTTCATGCATCTCTTTCCTACCCCACTCTCCCATCTGAAATTGTTCTTCGTATGATTTATATAATGGGTAATTTCTAAAACAAGTTTCTTTACAGACCAGGATTTCTCCATTAAAAAAAAAGATTTGTTTCCATTACATTATGAAACTCTTAAGATGCCTATGAGATTGTAGAGTCTTGTTATAATAATGTATTATTAATACAACGTTGGCATAGTAGAAAGGGATAAGCCTGAAGTTGCTATCTTTTTTCTAAATTTAACTTATTCCTTAAAGGTTGATAAATCTATTTCTGTGGTCTTGTTTTCTTACTCTATGAAAGGGAGAGAAATTGTCATATTACTTCTAAAATCAGAAGGAAAAACCCTACAGATATCTAGCTAGGCAATAGAAAAATAGAGAATTGGGCATGGTGACCTCTGAGTTTCCGTGCGTGCTGACTTACTATGATTCTTTATCTCCTTTCACCGGAAGTCATTACACATTTACTGAGCTTTTAGACCTGGTCACTAAGCAAGGCACTGATGTGTTATTGGGATATAATGTTGGTAATTGTTGTAAAAAGATGTCAGAATCTCTGGGAAAACATATGAGAGGGCTTCATTTTGCCCAAAAGGTAGAGAGTTAGAGACAACCTCTGAAAAGAAAACCTTAAAAGAGGAGTGGGGTAAGAGTTTGCCAAGCAAACAAAGGAAGGAAACGTGTTACAGATAACTAAAGTTAATCCTGCAAAATAAAAGGCTAGTGGTAAAACCGTTCAAAGAAAAAACAACTTGTGTTTGGAGAACAGTTTCTGTGGGTCAGGAGTCTAGCCGCAGTCTAGCTGGGTGCTGTGCTCAGGGTCCCACAAGGTTGCAGTTCAGAGTGTCAGCAAGGGTGTGTTCTTATCTGGAGGGGAAGCTAATCCACTTTCCAGGTCATTCATGTTGTTGGCATAATTCATTTCCTTTCAGTTACATAACTGAGGGACCCATTTTTTTGTCAGCTGTTGGCTGGAGGCTTCCCTCAGCTCCCTTTCGATTAACTCAGTCAACTGCTTTGAGGCCTAAATTACGTCTGCAAAGTCTCTTTACCTTTGCCATATTCAGTTGGCTAGAAGCAAGGCAGACGTCACGCCCACACCCAAGGGTGGGAGACTACACAGTATATGAATACCAAGGGTCGGGAATCATGGAGAGTCCCTAGGATTCTGCCCACCGCAGGGTGTTATGTGGAAGAAAGATTAGACTCAATATTGGTGGCCACAGACAGCAGACTGTGACAAATGGGTGCTGACTATGGGCTCCAACATGTCGGGGTCTGGTTAGTACTGCAAACGTGGCATGAACGTACAGGCTGGAAGTAGAGAAGACGTAGCAATGAGGACTACAGCCTCGGACCGTTAATAGGATTTCTTCACACCAGTTTCTCCATGTGCTGATCTCTGTTGTTAGTACATCTCTTTTGGCTGTCTTTTCCCAAAGGAGGACATCTAAGCTTAGGACCTTAGTATGTGAGCCGCTTTACAACTGTGATCATGGGTTTTTCAGGCCTTTCATCAGGCCATGCTTTTAACCTATCTTTTCTACTTTCTGTGAAATATCATTGCTTCCATTTTCTTCTCAGCCAACTTGTATTGTGTTTGTGACTTAGCCCAAATCTCATCATGGAGTTCAATTAAAATCGTCTTGTTCCTCTCAAGATACTTGTTGGATTATTTTTCTCTTCCTTTCTATTTACCTACCACAGTTGGACAAAGAAACGGATGGGATGAATGAGAAAAGGGAGTAGAAAACTATCTGGTCATACTGTAAAGGACGTTTATCTTACCTATTCTAGAAGAGGCTTTCTTACTCTACAACAGGGGGCAGCAAATTTTTTCTGTGCAAATAGTAACTATTTTGGGATTTTCATGCTAAGAGACAACATCAAGGATATTATGTAGGTACTTACATAACAAGAGAAAAAATGTATTTCCACAAAACTTTTACTGACAAAGTTCAAAATACAACAATTGGGAACTTTTTTCCTTTTCATGATACAAGTCTACTTATGAGAAGAATGGAATTCTTTTTGTTGGAGTAATATTTTAGCTAATTGAGGTTGAAATTAGTGTTGCCTGTCAAATTTGCAGATTCAGTCACAAAAGTTTACCTGTTAATATTGGTCTGTAATGAGATTTTATGTTTTTTATCTTTGAAATTTTTTCACACTGGTAAGTGCTGCCAGATCAGTGATACTAGTCCATGAGGATATGATTTCAATGGCGCATATTCATCATATTGAAAGGCCTTTATAGAATTCTGTTAGGTATTCTCTTGCTGTTTGCCTTAGAGGTTCCTCAATTATATATTTAAATGGATTTTGAAATACAGAGATTTTCTTTGAATTTGCTCTGAGGTATAAAAACATGGCTAGACCTTGAGCTTGGAAAATATATATGCTGCAAATTTTTGTGGTAATGGAGATCTTGCTTCGTTTCAGCTTTTGAAAGGACGGGAGGTATTGCAGCCTGCTGTTGTGTGTGATTCAGACACTAGTTGTCTAAATGACATTGCAGTATAAGTTTCACGTATAATCATTGTTTTGTCTTGTAATATTAGGTTGAATTTGTTAAGAAACATTAATAAGTCCATAGCAAAAACTAACTTCCATAGGCATTCAGTGTTTGATAACAGTGGTTAAGGGCAGCTCTTCCCATTCAAAGTTCTTGAGCTAAAAAATCATAAAACTTTATTACTTCTAAGCCATTAAACTGACGATGGATAAGTCCAGGAGACAATTGAAGGTTACCGCTGACACTACTGGCTCAGTAATGCGTGACAGGTTCATACATTTACAGCAGAACACCTGCCGATGAATAATACAGCGAGGAACCATGGGCTTTACGCGCCTCACATGTTCACTCGCTTTATCAATTTT